TAGAGTAATCAATGACAATAATAAAAATATCGGGTTAACACATAGATATATAGTGGTTCGGTTTGGATGACCTACTTCACTCCGAGAAATGACAACGATGGCCAGGGGACTTTTTATTGATTAAGTATGGTGAACGAGAGAGAAAGAGCAATAGTTAGCCTCAGGAGCAATACAATAGTTAAAAGAGAGAAAAATTATGTGTGGGCGAGTATAGAGATAGAGCTTAATGTGTCTTCTCATGTAAAGAGGACTTACAATTTATAGGCACAGGACCTTGGTTAATGCGGTGACTTGAGGGTAAAGGTACTAATTCTCTAGGTGGCTACAAAAGGTAAATACAATTAAAGATTGTCTTGATTTTTGAGAGTGAGAATTCCGATGATTGCTTCTCACATGCCCTAATCTTTTTGAACTTCTTAGGCCTTTGACTAGGTCGAACACACGAACTGAGCTTAACCTACCTTATAGTTGTTTTGGGCTTACTTAATCCATTGGGCCTGACCCGATAAAATCTAGACTCATCAAAATTAAATGAAACTAATTATCTATAAATAAGCCACTCATTCATGTATATTAAATGTTATACTATTGAATTAAATTAAAGGATAAAAAAAAATTCCTCTAAACTAAGTCTTAGTCTCACCTCACCCCCTAGACTTTTACAGGTTTCACTTAATTTCCTCCAACTTATGAACAAATTATAAATGTAAACAAAGGTAATAGTTTATACAAATTACCCCCGATTGTAATCTAATTTTCTTTGTGATACTATCATTGTAGAACTTTTATCTTTAAAATAAAAAAAGAAAACCTACAATTAGCACACTTCTACCACCATAGTTGCACCCCCATCACTACACCTCAAAAATTACTCTACAAGCTATGCAGAAGGCCAGAATGAAGGGGAGACTGAGAAAAGAGAGAGAAAGAGGTTGAAGAAGAAAAAGAGAAAGAATTTTGTATTTTTAATTTAGAGGCTTAAAATACGTAAAGTCAGCATGGTCAGACTTATTTTTCTATAAGGATTTCATTTGTGTGATTAAGTTTCATGTTGTGTGTATGCTCGAATTTGTATTTAAAACTTAAAGTGGTTATAGATTTTCAAATAGTTACATAGCAAACAATCATTTCTTCCTCAATTGACTCTTGGGTTGTGTTATAGTGTTGTAGTACAATGTATTGGAATGCTTGGAAGCCATGATCAAGGTGTGAAGAAACCCACTAGGGTTTGGAAACTTAATAATCAAATTTTTGAAAAATTTGTTAAAGCTTCAAAAGGGGGTTGGGTCTAGTTAATTTGGGGTTGAGGAGTTTAAAAATGACCAAAGATTTAAGAAAACAAGTCATTTGATGGGTCTAAAATGAATTTACCGGTTTGGAAAGAGAGAGTACGAGAGATGAGAGAGAATAAGAAGATACAGAGTAAAATTGATAATTTAATTTTTTTATTTATTAAAAGAATTATTTATTTTATAACACATGCTTAATTAGCAGGTGCAATTATTACACCGTTACAATAAACAAATTCTATTAAATTTACAGTTTAGTCACAAGTTAAAAAGAATTAAATACAATTCATAAAAGGATAAGGAGTAAAGTAAGACCAAAGCTTAGTTATGGAGATTTTGTTTTTTACACTAAATTAAACGGTATCATTGTGAAGAGGATCTCTTTTCCGATTAACTTATTTGATTCACGCGTGGGTGAGTGGTTCTGGTGTTTTTAAACAACATCCAATTGCCTAGTTGGACAAATTAGCATGTGAACCAAACATGGGTATCATTTCAGTACATTTATTGAAATGTATGGCCAGCAAGCATGGTGCCAAGAAGATCGCAATCTCTCTCTCTCTCTCTCTCTCTCCCCTTCTTTCTCCTCTAATTTCACGTACATAATGTTTAAAACCATAATTATTTCAATCCATAATTATTAAAACCATACTGGGAGAATGACGGGGGCGTTTGAGTGCCGGATCCAACCATCCAACTCAACTGATTGAGACATCATATACATAATGTGTGTTTATTGTTGTTAGGCGTCTGTTTTTTTACTGAGTCTGTTACTTCATTGTTTTGTCATGAAATAAAAATAAATAAAAATTATCTGGGCAAGTAAATACTAGCAAGCCAGCAATAAACTTTTAATTGCTGAAGAACCTAACAAAACAAGAACTAAATGCCCACACGAAATGTCCGAGGAAGTAATTTTTCTTTGATCAATATCTTAGAGAAGGAAAATAGTTGGGTATTCAATGTGCATCACTGTATGTACGAAAAGTATACCCTCCTTTGATCCCAATTTAAATGATTAGTCGAATAAAGAATAATATTTTTGATCGATTTTCTAAATTCACATTTGTTATGTGGTATTTGATGAATTTAGATTTAGATTTAGATAAAATATAAGTTAAAATTTAGGTTTAGTGCTAAAATCAATTCAAATTAAATTATTTGAATCAAAATGGACATTTGACTAAGAGTAATAGTGCAGTTGAATATAAATTATAAAATTCATCTAATAATCAAATCAAATTCGGGTTCGATATTTGAATCGCACTTGGAGCAATAAAAATCTTATCCAAATGGTCAGACATAAAAGATAATCTAATACACAAAACTCTCGTTACCACGAATTTTTCTGAAGACGCAAAGTGAATATAATCTTATTAATGCGTAAGGTGGGACAATGTTTAGACACTCAAACCCGGAAGGCAAGACAATGTTTAAGTCTCAGCATAGTGCAAATGTAACCGCATTAGTGGTTCAACTTTCGTAATCAATCTTCCCCTTTTGGAGGATTAAATGGGTACGAACCTTGACTATAATGAGGCTGCATTTGCAGATAATAATAATAATAATCCCATCATGAGTTGGTGGCAGCCAGATAAGATGCAACACTTGTTCCAAATGACTTCTTCTAGTTTCTTTCCAAAAGAAAGGACCACTCTTTCTATCAAACTTCCCAAAAAGGTGCCAAGGTGTAAATGTTGAAATCTCATACTAGTCTTGTAAATTCCCCTCATTATTCTGCCTCATTAGTCAAGTGGTTGAAAATCCAACGCTTCAAAAGTCTAACAACAATCTTTCCAGGATTCTTGTAGCCCTAGGCTTCCCCGCTGTGAAAGCTTAAGAGAGATATGATAAAAAAAATTTAAATTAACTAAACATATGTTAAATGTGTCAGATTAAATAGTTACGTGTCGAGTTAAACAGGTGATGGATGAAAAACATGTAAACTCGTATACGACACGTTTAATAAACGGATAAAAAATTTTAACACGAACACAACCTGTTTAATAAACGGGTAACACGACACGACTACTTTAACCTGTTTAATTTTAAAAAAAAAATTATATCAACAAATTTTAATATACCACTTATTTTACTGACAATTGTATTTACCTCAAAAAAAAAAATTTTTTTAGCCAAATTTTACATAAAAATCAAATTTGAAGGCTAAAAAAAAAGGCAAGAGGCCACTGTCTACCTTTATTTGCCTATGTGGGACCAAAACAAAAGGAGTTAATTTGTCTTTGTCATGAACTACTCCTATCTATCTTTATTTGTCTTTGAACTACTATTTTATTTTTTTTATAGATTTATTTACTATTTTTTGGTTAATTTTTTAAAATAATTATTAATTTATTATTATATTAATTTTTTTAAACGGGTAAACGTGTGATAAACGGTTTGATAGGTCTTACCCGAACACGACCCATTTATTAAATATATCTGACAAGTCAACCCATTTACCACCTAAACCTGTTAATGTCTCACTTAAATCTGCTTAGTTCGTGTCGTGTCAAATTTTGAGAAGTCTATTAATATATGTGTCATTATGGTGCGTAAAATAGTTGTACGGATTTCATTTGAATGAGATAACTGTAATATGGGATTATTGTAATCTTTAGCAAGAATCGAAGTTTTCTTATATTTATTTTTAACAATGTTATTGAGATTTAATTTGTTGATTTAATTTACTATGACTTTTGAATTTATTATAAATTTTATCAAATATTAGAATTTAATGTTGATCTAATAGTTTTAATAAAGACACATCATAAAGTCAACAAATTAAGTCAAAATTTTAAGTACAAATAACATTACTCTTTTATTTTTTAAAGATTTCATTTTTTCAATTGTTATTGATAAAATTGAAATTTTTTTTCCCTTCAATATCTAGGTGGGATTATAGCAATCTTCAGCATGAATCGAGATTTTCTTTTCTTTTCTTTTCTTTACGTGTAGAGCATTCCTAACTTTTTTTTTTATTCTTTTTTTTTGGGTTATTATTGACAAAGTTGACGTTTTTTATTTTTATAATCTCATTGAAGGTCTATGAATTTCGAATCCCAGTATCCAACCACGAGTCCCACCCTTATGGCCAAGCCAAGGCATGAGTGTTTTTTATGGGCGTCAATATAAATCAATTTTTTGAATTATATATGAATTATCATAACAACCAATCTTTATACTCATTACTAGATAAACAGTAAATATATATCGACATCTTCAAATTAAACACTTCACTTATAATTTCAAAGTAATAACTGAGTTTTCGCCGTTGGAATTTATGAATCAATTGTCACACTACTGCTATTTTTAATCATAATACTAATTTTTTAACTGATTAACTAAACAACTGTAATTTCTCAATAAATGTAAGCTCAAAGCACATTTTATTTTATTTTATTTTTTTCATGAAAGCACTTTTTGCAAACACGCCTTAGCCTGTAAAGTGTATCATAGTCTAGTAAAAAGCTAAGCAACAAGGCAACAAATTCCCGGAAGCTTTTCACGGGTGGGCATAAGATAGAAAGCATAAGAACCAAATTTGCCTTACGCTTTTTAAGCTGATTAGAGCGCGAAGATACATAAATGGTTGATCGAATCACAAAACTCTCTCTCTCTCTCCCTCTCCCTCTCGCCGGAGGAAAATACCAAAATTCACGTTCTCAAAAAGTTCTCACTCAGTCAACTCCAAACCACCCACCCAAAGATAACGACACCCCATCCGTGAGTCTTCTCTGTCTATATCTTTCTCTCTCTCTGTTTTCTTTGAACAAACTTCTCTCTTTCTCTCTCTCTCTCTAGATGTATATCTGTGTGCTTATAAGTATCGTGTAAGTCTATGTATAATTTGCATTGCAAGATATCAAAATTTTCTTGTCTTCAACGGCATTGTTTTGCTTCTTGATTGATTGTTATTTTTATATAATTATATTGGGCTTGACATGGACATTTCATTGTACTTGAATAACGTAAGTCCAGTTTTTTATTTTTTTCTCATTTGAAGTTGAATTTGGAGCAAAAGCTTTGATTCTGATCTGGGTTTATTTTCTCCTAGCTTTGTTTTACTCTCTTTGTCCCTTTGTCTACTATGTCTCTTTTGTTCACTCACTACGAAAATTACCAGTGTGACTATATATTTTTCACTGTGATTTACTGATTTTAATCCGGGTTAATTTGGTGTTTCTGGGTTTTTCACTCTCTGTCTATCTACTTCCTGTCTTTATTGTTCACTCACTATCAAAATATCTCTCTGTTAGGATGACTTCGGCTTCACAAGAAACCATCCTTGCCTTTCACGAGAAACTTTGGTTTTGAGCCTCAATTGTCTCTTTCATGGTTAGATCATATATCCTATAAGGGTCTTGACACTCTTCTACTTCAAAATATCTAGCTTTATCTTACATACTAGTTGATTGAATTTGTTTGCAAAATATGTCCTTCACTGAATTTTGATCTTGTTGAATTCACTCGAATTTTGGGCTTTTCTTGCTCGGGGAATTCGATAGAAATGAAGTATTATACGTTCTTCAGTTGGGTACTACTAATTGTTCTGTCTCAGTTATGTGGGTGTGCTTTGAGTAAAGAGTGTACTAACATTCCAACACAATTATCATCACATACTCTTCGATATGAATTGTTGTCATCAAACAATGAAACTTGGAAAGAAGAGATGTTTGGCCATTACCATTTGATACCCACAGATGACTCTGCGTGGGCTAATTTGCTTCCAAGGAAGATTTTGAAGGAAGACGATGAATTTAGTTGGATGATGATGTATAAGAAACTGAAGAACTCAGGTGGGGTTGAAGGGCCTGGGGGTTTTCTTAATGAAGTGTCACTGCATGATGTGAGATTAGACCCAGATTCAATTCATGGACAGGCTCAGCAAACAAATTTGGAATATTTGTTGCTGTTGGATGTTGATAGCTTGGTTTGGAGCTTTAGGAAAACTGCTGATTTGCCAACTCCAGGCAACCCATATGGGGGCTGGGAGGCCCCGAATTGCGAGCTTCGTGGTCATTTTGTAGGTTGGTATAGTTTTTTTTTTCGTTGATTAGTTACTTTGTTCTTAAATTTGTTCCTACTGGGTTTCAAATTGTACTTTCTCAAGTCCAACCCTTACAGCTTACGCATAGGAAAGCATGGTTTAATAAGATTGTTTTATGTCACTAAAAATCACTGTCTACTATGTAAACAATCCGAGGGAAGGAATCAATATGCCTGAAAAGTGAACACCTAATGACTCAATGCTTTCCTTGTTTATTTTATGCCTTGGAATTTTTTATTTCTGCTGCATTAACTCTTCAGCAGAGGGACGGCCAAATTGCAAACCGTAATCTCTATGAGCTGTGATGAGTAATCCTCTTCATGCTTGTTTTTGTTGTAACTACCATTCCCGCACGCAAAATGCTTGCACTTCTGAATGAACTTTAGTTTTTGGCTGTTAATAGATAATTTGTGTGCTATCGTTGGTACTCGGGCTACCTATCATTCAATGATTCCAAGATTATGTTTCCGTGAAGCTACTTCACATGACAATAAGCATCATTGCTTGACTGTGTTCTTTAAATTCCACTTGCATTGAAGCTTGACTAGTCCAGATATGCAATGGATTAATTAAAAAACTAGAATCAAGTGGTCCCACATTTCAAGTCCTTTGATTGGTTTTTCGTATGTATTTATTAGTCTCCTACTCGAGTTTTAGTCCCAACTTAATAGCATTTTTACACATTAAACATATGTTTTGATTCATGAAATTGTAACATTATGTGATTAGTAACACTCGTTTTTGAGCTACTGAAGGGCATTACATGAGTGCATCAGCACAAATGTGGGCTAGCACTCACAATGATACTCTCAAAGAGAAAATGTCTGCAGTGGTTTCTGCTCTCTCTGCTTGTCAGGATCAAATGGGTACAGGGTATCTTTCTGCTTTCCCATCTGAGCTATTTGATCGTTTTGAAGCTATAAAACCCGTATGGGCACCGTATTACACAGTTCATAAGGTAGAAACTTCTTTGCGTGCTCTACTAATTTAGGTAAATTCATTTTTTTATGACTAGCCTCATACTCGGTCAACTTTGGCAGGTATTGGCAGGTCTTTTGGATCAGCATATATTTGCCAGTAATGCTCAAGCTCTAAAAATGGTGATATGGATGGTTGACTACTTCTACAACCGTGTACAAAATGTCATATCAAAGTATACAATCGAACGACACTGGTTATCATTAAATGAAGAAACTGGTGGCATGAATGATGTTCTCTATAGGTTGTACAGCATAACGGTGTGTATCTCAATTATAATGGTCATCTAACTATGATCCCCAGTTCTTCATCCTATTAGTTTGATGTTGAATATATAATTGATATGTTGCATTAGATCAGTGCATGGCTAAGATTGCAAAGAACTTTTCAACGTTCTTAACATGCTTCTATGACAGTTCACATCAGTTATGTACATCATATCGAGTCTTCCTTTTTTTTATCAATTAACAATGTCTGAAAGAAAATTCATCAATATACAATTCGAAATAGATTTTGACATTAAGTCTGCTGGTTTTTTGTATGGTGTTGAATTTGTGTAATATGGTAGTGCCATTGAACGCAACATATCCTGAACAAACTAATTTTATTTCATGTTTCCAATATGTAATTACTGCAATAAAGCTGCATCACCTTATTATGTGAGAAGTTAGCTTAATTTGTTGAAGATTGACGCATTTGTTTTTGGGTTGTTAGTGTGATTGTTGTAATGACCATCTTTGGATTCACGAGTCCTTTACAGTTTTTGTCTTTCTGTGCTTGAAATCCCTCAGATATATCTAAAACTTGAGCTCTGTACTTGCAAATCTCTGAGAGATTTCTAAAATTTGTGCATTGATGTTACTCCTTTTTTTTTTTGTTTTTACTATGTGCAGGGAAATCTGAAACATTTATTTTTGGCTCACCTTTTTGACAAACCCTGCTTTCTAGGTTTGCTTGCAATAAAGGTACCTTCCATTTTGTTTTTTCTATTTACTTCAAGTTCATATTGGTGTCAATTGAAGTGTGGTTTCCTTTCCCCTTTCTACTTGATAGATTTTATATAGAATTGAAGTTGTTTCCCTTTAGAGGTAAAAAAGCATTGTTCCATCTCTTTAAAATTGTTTCTTTTGTACAGGCAAGTGACTTTAACAACCAATCCTTGGACGAACTGATTGTTTGCATTTTTTATCTGTTGTACTTTGGTATGGAAGGAATTTAGCATACATCTGAAATTATGAAATTTTAGAGTGGGCTTAGCAATGGATGCTTTTGGGATGGGACAGCCCTTCCCCAATCAGTTCCTAACATAGTTAAGGTCCATAGCTTGGCACTGATTTTATCAGCATGAGTAGGGGCAGAGTTATATACACTGATTAGAAGTGGGGTTTCATCGAACTCTCAATAACTGATTATTGTCAGTGTCACCTGTTAAAATTTTGAACTGTTCTTGCATAACATTAAAGCACCATTTTATTTAATGGAATGCTTAATCATGTTAGTTGCATATGATTGTTTCACAGGTAAAAATAACTTAATACATGTATTTTGTTTAGATTTGAGATCCTAAAGGAAACCATAATTCCAAGCACATACCAAGGTTATATTGATGTACAAAAACCAGCTGCCATTGTTTGTTCAAGTGTTGAACTGCTCAATGATATATGTATTGAAGATTGTTTGGAAGTTGAAGTGCTAAAGAAGTACAAAACATAACTTTAACTTAAAAAAATATGTGACAGTGACATGTTACAGCCATATTTCTAAATGGCTGTAACCTGTATTGACCACTTTTTATTCATCTTGAACTCGACACTGTTTAGTAATTGAGAGTCCATTCTGCACCTATTCCATTCTGTGTGTGTGTGTGTGTGAGAGAGAGAGAGAGAGAGAGAAAGAGGTCAATAGATAAAAGAAAAGAGGTGTAGAGAGAAAGAGAAGAAAGTATAAGAGAAGAGAAAAAAAAGACAGTATGGAGGAAGTAAGAGAGGAATAATTAAATGGAGATGAGAATAAATTGTCCACTTCCTATACCGATAACACAAATTAAAATTACTGGAAGAAAAAAGAATTTCTGAAGAAGGAGATATTTAAACACAGAAAGTTTTGGTTACAAGTTAAAATTCAATGTTTATGGATAAATCTATTTTAGTATCAGTTATCAGTTCTGAGATAATGTCAATTGGTTGCTGGCATCTTCAAGTAGATCTCTAGAAGCAATGAACTAGAAAAAAACATTGGTATTGTATAAGGGAAATTAACATAGAAACAAAGATCAAAATTTTGTTTCGAAATGGTCGAAACGTCCGAAATGTTTCCGTTTACAAGGAGACCGAAACGAATCAGCGATGAAATCGAAATTTTGATATTTCGAGGTATTCTATACTGTTTCGAGATATTTTATAATATTTCAATGTATTTGTACAATTGTTTCAGAATATTTCAAGGTACTTCAAGATCTTTTGATATATTTCGATCCATGTTTTAGAAAAATAATTTTTAAATTTTGTATTTTTTTTCGTTATGTTTCCGAAACTGGTCGAAACATTTTCAAAACAAGTCGAAACATTTCCGTTTCCTAGGTGATCAAAACAATACACCGAAACAAATTTTGATCCGTGCACAGAAGTAAGAGCTCGAACTTTACTAATGAGACTAAAATAAAGTTCCATGAACAGATACTGAACCATTAATGATGGAAATTGAAAAGCAGAAACTATTGCATACTCCCTGGGCTAGAAATTCTAAGACCAGGGGACTCCTATCTTCATATGCACTTTTTGTATTTTTTTTTAACATTCTTAATCAGGTGGAAGTCCAAAGATGAGGTAACCTAATGGAATTCAAAAAATGATTCTAAGAAATGGGCAATGTATTATAAGTAAGAATCTTAGTTCTCGGCATAGTAAATAATCTAGCCATAACTTGGTAAATGTCCTCTGTTTTATTAGCGAATTGTTACACATGAAATGGTTTTGACTACTTTGCCATAGTTATATTTAAATAGTTGAGACTCTTTATAGAAACAAGGAAATGGGAATTTGGACACAAAATGCCTATACAATAAGGACTTCTAAATTTATTGCTCAGTTATATATTGAGCTATGGATTGAGGTTCCTGATGCAGTTTACACAAAACATTGTGATTCCTTGCCTACTTCAACTTTAGACATCAGAATTGTGACTCTGACCTAGATTAATGAAGTATTACCTTCTTTTTTGGATGCCTTTCTGCATTACTGGTTTTTTCCCTGCTGAAAACTTGAGGCATCAGTTTTATTCTTCAAACTGCACACAACTTAACTGGGTGAGTGATAGGCACCTGATTTGTAGCAGAGCCTATAAAATGCTCAATATATAGAGCCAGGTTTCATGTTTTTTGAGATTTACATTGGTGTTAAAATATTGTGCAACTTGTCACAGCCATCTCTTTTTTATGTTCTTTGGATTGAGAGTATAGTAAATCGGTAAATCTTTGGGTTGAGAGTATAGTAAATGAAGATATATGAAACTATTTGGGAAAATCTCTATTTGAGGAATATCTTGATGAAAAATTCGTTAACTTCTAAATTTCTTGGATTTTTTTGGATTTTACCATCAGACAAAGCAGATCCTGATATCCCTCATTAGGATTGTAAGTAATTTGGTGTAAGTAGTAGATGAGAAATGGTACACAAATTGGCGTTTCTTATTTAGTGGCTAATTACTGAGTACTCAATAATTCAATTTTTAAAACATTTTCTTGGTTATACGATAATGTTACATTTCACAATTTTAAGAGCAATTTATTCCAGTCTTCAATCTTACAGATGTTGGATGTCATCTGTCTTTTGATGTAGGCGGATGATATATCTGGTTTTCATGCCAACACACATATTCCCGTTGTTGTCGGATCTCAAAGGCGGTATGAAGTTACTGGTGATCCAATTTATAAGGTAAAAATGGCTGTAAGTAGATGACTCGAGAACAATGTTGTTGAGTTTAGTATGTTATGCCTATTAGATTACCTTTGACCCTTTATCTTTGGCAGTCTTTTATGGACAAAGAACAGTGTGTTTATCTTTATTTCTTTTGGACCATGACACAGAAAACAGGACTACCATCAGAAATTATGAAGAAAGTAAAGGTCATAGAATGAGAAATCTTTCTACATTTAAGGAACTAAAAGATACCAAAGAGAAAGAATGGTGATTCAGGTTCTTTGCCTTTAATGAGAGATGGACCCAAACAATCTCAAAGAGGTCAAAATGTAACCCCTAAATGACTCAGGAGTGAAGGGACTTCTCTCTCTCTTGCCTATAATCTGGCCTCCTCACCGACAGATCTGGAATTCAAATATAACCCTGCTTCAGGGAAAATATAAACTGAAAACCTCTCTCATAATTAGCCTATGCGAGAGGAAAAATTCTTCAATTCTTACCCATCTCATTTCACTATAATCATCTGCAATTGAGCAATGGTGCAACCCAAAGAAGTGACCTGTCATAGGCTTCCCAAATATTTGGAGAAATATCCTTAAATGTGATAACTTACTCTTACCATCTTGACTAGGAGAAAAAAGAGAAGCGCCCAAAGCTCTTAAGAACAGCTTGAAGTACTGATTGACCAGGGGCTTCCGAGGGAGTTACTGTGGAAACTGATATTGATTATATCCCTTGGGGAAGGGTATAGGCATCAGTTTTATTTCTGAAAATTTGATTCTTGGGACCAAAAAAAGAGGGTATTTCTCTTCAGAATTCTGAAATTTTTATTTATTTTATTGTGCCAGGAAATAGGGACGTTCTTCATGGATATTGTCAACTCTTCTCACATCTACGCAACAGGAGGGACATCAGTTAGTGAGTTCTGGTGTGAATGCTTTGACATTTTGACAAACTTTATTCAGTTATAAATCAGTTCCATACCCCTTACCTCAATCCCCCCTATTTTCTTCTGATTTGAGTGACAAAAAGCACTTAAAAGTTCATTTATTTTCTCTCTACTTTGTTGCTGGTTTTCCCTTCAGCATATTCTTAATTCTATTTTGCTAGTTATTCTTTCCTCAACCTGTGAGCAGGTCAGACCCAAAGCGATTAGCAACCACTCTGCAAACGGAGAATGAAGAATCCTGTACAACCTACAATATGCTAAAGGTGTGCCCCTAATTATGAATGTTTGAAGGAGATCGAAACAGGTTTTGCCTTCCTCATGGGGGAGTTATATCATGACTTACAATATTAGATTAGAAAGTAGGGTCAGTGGTAGGCCTGTAAACAGCTCAAGGCTCGGCTTTAGATTGTTCATTAACAAAACAGACTGAGCTCAAGCCTTGCACCAGGCTCGTTTAATAAAGGACAGATCTCAAGCAACAACTGAATTGGATTGAGTAGGTTCACAAGCATAGGTGTATAAGTGGACACAGTTTCAAGGATTGGAGCTAGGCATAAACTTATTATTGGCGCATTCATGGATTTGAATGTTTACTATAGTGTTCTTATGATATGGATGCTTTTCAACATTTTTTGCCAAAACACAAGAAATAAAAATTGCTTGCAAACTCATGTATAGACTTGACTTGAGCTCGATTTTGTTTGTTTAGGTTGTCGAGCTGAGTCGATCTGATCCAGGCTCAAGCCTTTCGAAACTTACACAAGCCAAGTTCCACGGCACTTGGCTAAGTTAAACTCAAGCTTAGCTAGAACTTGAGAAATACCGAAGGGCTTGCCCTTTTTTTCCCAATTCTTTTAAATCACTTGTATACAAAGTATCATTACCCCACCCATCTCTATATTATATTAATGTATAAATCACGGTTCTGTTCAATGTTTTTGAACGTGTTGACATTGTAATTTCCTAGGTCTCTCGCCACCTGTTTAGATGGACAAAAGAAATGGCATATGCGGATTATTATGAACGAGCTCTAACAAATGGTGTCTTGGGCATTCAAAGGGGAAGGGAACCCGGAGTGATGATCTACATGCATCCACATGGCCCTGGACGCTCCAAGGCTGTAAGCTACCATGGATGGGGAACAAAGTTCAATTCTTTTTGGTGCTGCTATGGGACAGGTGAGTCTATTTTTCAATATGACATTCTTCTTTTCCTGAAAAAAACCCAATTTGGTGGTTCATAAGAATCTTCAAAACCTCGGAGGATCTTTTGAAATTCATCATGAAATATTAGGCTCTCTGAATCTTATTTTTTTTCTCTTAATTCATGCTGTTGTGGTCGAGTGAATTACAAATAATAGCCCATCATTACAGTTCTGATGAACTATTTGCTTTTTTATTTATTTATGTTGTTTTGATTCATAACTTTCAGTTAGAATTCTACTTGCATGCTATAGCTGCAACCAATTTCTTTATTTTTGTTCCATTGTGATCTTTATTAAGCGTAACTTGAGATAACATTCATAGCAGACATAACAAAACAACATGTGTTATTTAGAATTTTCTTTCTTCCCTCACTTCTCAGGAATTGAATCATTCTCAAAGTTGGGAGATTCTATATACTTTGAAGAGGAGGGAAATGTTCCAGGTCTTTATATCATCCAGTACATAACAAGCTCTCTTGAGTGGGAATCTGGACAGATTTCACTAAGTCAGAAAGTAGAGCCTGTCCTTTCATGGAATAATCGCCTTCACGTGACTCTGGCAGTTTCCTCAAAAGAGGTATTTAATAGCAAGTGATACTCTTTTACTTCTCTTTTGACATGTGAATATTATTTTAATTTTTTTTCATTAGCTGGTTCTCTTATTCCTGGTTGTGTACACTATCTCCTCTACCTTAACACCTTGTTGATGGTAATATTCTCCTAAACTAATGTTTCATCTGGAAGTAAGGAAGAACGAGATCTTCCACGAAACTCACTGTCATTCTCTTCATGGCACAAAGTCATCATGCTGTTGATATCTTGTATGATTTTCAGCAGAGAGAAAACTGTTTCCTAATTCAGTAGACTGCTTTCTTAGAGATAGGTTGGCTGCTAACATATCAAGCACCTTATATTTTTGAGGAGGTTCAGCACTGTGGCATGCTGATTAGATCGTCACTGTGATGCATAGTCTGCTGCATTGACATCTTCTGTATCTGATTTTACCGCATATCTGATATTTTTGTCTTAGATACGTTTTTATGGTCCAACATTAATAGTTGTAGAAGCAACATTGTTGGGGAATTGATTTTCCTCAAAGTGCATGATATGGTTCTTGAACGCCATTTGGTTGCAGGGCCATTAGTTTATTCTTGTTTGTTAAGCCACCTTTGAGATCTTTTGGGAGTACTTGTTATATTCTACTTGAAATGACCGCGCCTCGGAAATGGCTTTTTTCGTTTGAGTGTTGGCTTTCTGAAGCTGAGAATCACACGAGTTATCGTTACTATGACCCCCCTTCTAGTCAATGCTTGTCACCTCAAAGTCTATAGCGCCTCCCTGTCTATTTCTTACAAGTGAAGTTAAAATGCAATTCTCTCTCTCTCTTTCTCTCTCGTGCGGGCGCACAACAAAGACTCATGCATATCTTAAATAGGACTAAATGAGCATCAACTGATAGAATAGGATAGTGTCTACAACTTAATTGATCTTTAGGAGGAGGAGAAATAGAATAACAAGAAGAATAAACATGAACAGATTTTGGAGGTCACTTTAGAATCCTGGTGTTAGAAATTTAATAGAAGGCAAAATTAACTAACCAGGATACAGGAGCTGGAAACCTAATATGTAAAGGAACTAGTTGTGAAGACTGGCAGTGGCAGGTGGGTTTGTGTCTAAAGTTCTTTACTTTCAGACAGAATAAATGTCTCTGTTCCAGTCCAATGTGGTTTGTTTACACATGAAAAAGGCCATCGGGTAATTCTAAGCAGAAGGTGGAGAGGGGAGAGAGAGAGAGAGAGAGGGAGAAGCAAAAAATAGCCAACATTTTAGATTTTCCTTTTAATATTGTTTTTAATGTCGGTAAGAGTGGCAAAAAAAAGCAGAAACTGGAATCCCATGTTCTTTCTGAAAGTTCTCCATATTTTCTGCAACCAAGCAAAGCATTATCTGATCTTATGGGAGTTAATTAACAATTTCTTTGTTCAAGGCTTGCTGTTTTTTTCTATTCAAAGTGTAACTAGTATTTCTTGCTTGTGTCGTTTATGCAGCAAGGGGCAGTCAAATCTTCTACCTTGAACTTGAGAATACCACTTTGGACATACACAAATGGTGCAACAAAGGCCTCATTAAACGGTGAAGATTTGTCTTTACCACCTCCAGGTGTGAGCTTCAATCTTTTTCTCTTTGATGCTCTTACTGTACTGTACTTCCTATATTGTTCTTTTGTGCGTGCGTAATGTATGTTACCTTTTTACTTCACTGTTGGTACATGGAAATAAAATTAACCTTCAGTTGAGAGTTACAAGTCCCAGTGCACAATTGGTTATCCGGAGCTTAGTGTGGAGGTTCATGATTTTCCTCCTCCTTGATGCAGGTAATTTCCTATCGATAACTAGAGATTGGAGCCCTGGTGACAAAATCACTCTTGTGCTGCCCATAAGTCTTAGAACAGAGGCCATTAAAGGTATTATCAATGCTATAACAGAAATACGGTATCTGTGATGATCCTAGCATCTCTATACTTTGGTCTTTGTCTATCATTAAAAGCAAAGTGTCAGGATATAGCTAACTCATTCCTCTGAATGGCACATCAGATGAACGGCCAGAGTTTTCTTCTCTTCAGGCAATTCTTTATGGTCCCTACCTTCTTGCTGGACTGAGTAATGGAGATTGGGACATTAAAACAGAATCAGCTACTCATGTCTCAGACTGGATTACTCCAATTCCAGCTAACTACAATTCCCATCTGATTACTCTTTCCCAGGAATCTGCGAACTCGGAATTTTCCCTCACAAACTCTAACGGATTGATAAGAATGGAAAAGTTTCCTGAACCCGGCACCAATACTTCTGTCCATGCCACTTTTAGACTCATCTTAAAAGAATTGAGTTCCTCACAATTTTCAGCACCAAAAGATGCTATTGGAAAATCTGTCATGCTAGAACCATTTGATCTTCCGGGCATGTTTGTCGTGCACAAAGGAACTTATGAAAACCTTGAAGTTGCAGATTCCTCTGGTGACGGTAGTTCTGTTTTCCTTTTGGTTGCTGGATTGGATGGGCAGGATGAAACTGTTTCCCTAGAGTCTGAAAGCAAGAAGGGTTGTTTTGTGTATAGCGGTGTGGACTATAAATCGAGTACAAACATCAAGCTCAGATGCAAATCCGGGTCATCTGATACGGAATTTAAACAGGGAACAAGCTTTACATTGAAGGATGGAATTAGTCAGTATCATCCTATTAGCTTTGTGGCAAAAGGAGCGCGGAGAAACTTTCTTCTGGCTCCATTACTTAGCTTGAGAGATGAATCTTACACAATTTATTTCAACATCACATCCTAAATTGTTCGGGTGGAAGGTAAAGAGGCTAGAGTGGAACGATTGACAAAAGGAAAACAGTAATAAATTTACTTTTCTTCTGTTTCCTGGGTTGATTTTATGCCATGAATGAAGTTTTATTTCAGTCCTACGAGAGTATAAGATTTGAAGAAAGGAAATATTGATCCTGAGTGTATTAAGTTTTTCCACATAAGATACGTAAACATGATTAATCATTCGTTGCATTCTCAGATATCATGATGTTAATCAATGAACACTTTTAAGGAGTGTCACGTTTAATAATAAGTCTAAATCATCCTATACATGTAAGATGATAACTATCCGTGTAAAGAATGTGGATTTGACGGTGACAGTATGTAACGATAACGATGTTCTTTTGTTTAGATTCTTTCTTGTGACGTATCGTTATTTATGATTTCATAACTTAAGGTGTAAACATGGAGAAGAGTAATTTCCTTTCACGAGCAAACAACCCCTTCCTTTAATGCACGTTTGTGTGGAGTACAAGCACAGAAAGGATATTGTCATGTGTGTTGTCTTGCTGGTTTGGACTGACAATGGCAGCTGCCAAACCGTGAGCTTTGTGTTTGTATTGTTATTGTTACGGTGCACAATGAATGGCACCAACCGTCCAATTGATTGCCACTCATTCATTAATTCGTAAGAACAAAATGACTCATCTTCGTAGTAGTTATAGAAGGAACCTTGTACTATATTCATTGATTAGATGTCCACCTCCCGTAACTTAATGGCATTTATTTTCTTAGCTTGTGGTCAAAAGTCAATTTCGACAAAACGTAAAAACTAATTTCTTTATGCCATCTTTTTGAGGTTTTTATTATCACTAATACTGTGGAAATATAATTTGTGACAAAAATTGAAGAATTAATGTAATTTGATCATTAAATTAATAATGGACTTCTTCAATACTAAGACTCAAATAATATTAGTCTCTCATTATGTCCCTCTTTCTGGCTATCTTCACCTACATCGATTGCATTCTATTATGTTCTTGTTATAAATGTTTCTATAATAATTTTTTGTTCATTTTAATTGTGATATAGACATGCACATGCACAAAAAAACATAATAATGATAAAATAATTTACATTTTTTGCAAATCGGTTATTCGGGTATTACACTTTCAAAAAAGAAAAAAAAATTCAAGTAATTAAACACTTCTCGGTCATCGTTGCGTAATACAAACATATCTATCATATATTGTATTAAATTCATTGACTAAATTTAATACTACACTAAGATTGACGATGAATCTTAAAGAATATTAAGATCCACTGCTAAATTGAATTTAAACAGTATTTTTTGTGCAATTAAAGTTGATGCAAAACACATATATGTTCCTCCAAATTAGAAAGCAAAAAATCCATGGGATAAAATTACACTTAGACCCTTGAACAATACCCTTCTTTTCATATTCTCCTAAATTATTTGTTTCTTACGGTGCACTTTAAATTATTGGTTTGAGTTCATTTAGTGTTTGATGATACCTCAAACAAACCCTAGCTGTGAGCTCAGGTCAGGAAAGACACGAGGAACTCTGAGAACCAAGGGTAGAGCTCCCCTTGGTGAGATCATGACAGAACTAACCAAGAAACAGCTGGATGACTGCAGAAATTGAGCTCAATGCATGAAACTCTCAATCAACTGAGATTATCTCCTAAAATTAAGAAGGATTCCATGAATAATTAGCAAAGATCTCAGCTGAAATCTCACATAATAGGAGCAGCTTTATAAATACTATGTAATGCCTCATCGAGAGGAGAAAAGGAAGAACCCTAATTAGATCATGCATTGTATTGTAATACATTCAAATAGTTAATAGAGAAAAAAGGAGCAAGAGCCTCCATTAGAGAGTGGATTAGCCGAGCTCCAGAGCTCGTGAACCACTATATTCCAACTGTGTAAATTTTTCTATCCCCTAAGAAATATTTCATCACTGCCATTATAAAGTTGGCAGCCTAAATTCACCGTTGGTCCCACGCACTCTGTTACCCACATTAGTCCACACCATCAGTTTGGCACCGTCTGTGGGAACGACTGTTCCTGTTACAAATAAACTGATTTCTCAATGATTGATGGTGATGAGTCAAGCCCAAAATGACCCAATTTATTTGGAAAACTCAAACCTCAATTAAAGAGCCAATCTTATAAAGACCCACTAAGCCCAATACTGTCCAAGTCCAGTCTCATCAGTTCGGCTACGTCATCAAAAGGAAGAGTGTGGGGGCCTTACCTGCACTGCAGAAGGAAACAGTCCACTCTCACCTTATCTTTGACCGTATCTCATGGGGAGCTCCTTAACCACTTCACCGTTCAGAGGAAGTCGTGAGCTCCACTGAAATAGTTGCTTAGTTGCTGAAAAGTAGCCCCAACCTGTTGAGGGGGCTACTATAAATTGCACGCGCCACCAACACTTGGGGGCATCACATTTTTTACCTGAGCACGACTCTTTCTTCTCCTTCAAAGCTTGTACTCTCTGCTCCCTACTCCCTTGAGTTAATAAAATACCCGGTAACCAAAAGCCATTGAAGAGTGGACGTAGGTCAAGCTGATCGAACCACTATAAATTGTCTGTGTCTCTCTATCTCCCATTATTAGTTTTCTTGCATTTATTATTCACACTTGATAGGTGGTGTGCAGAACTATTTTGTACATTATTAGTTTGGTGCCTGTCTATGGGAAATGACAAAATTCTCACTCCTAAACATTACATTCGCTGACCCAATGATGATCACTACCAGATCCATGAACCAACATGAAGACAATCCATCATGAGAGGAGGAGGTTACTTATCTTCCCACCAACCCTGTCCCAAATGCTCCAACTCCAAATCCACAGCAAATGCTGGAGACCATGCAGCAGCTGGTGGCCCAAAACCATCAGATACTACAACTCATGCTCGCTGGACGAGGAGGAGCGCAACCTGGAGGTGCATAACATGGAGGACCCCAATGAGCTCCATGCCCTGGGCATCAAGGGGCTCCACACCCTGCTGCAGGGCTGGGCGCCCCCTTGGAGTCCCTTTGGGCGCCCCATATAGGGGTGCCCATCATGAGGGAATCCCACTTCCTCCTCCTCCATCTGCTTCCCATGGTGAGGACCTTTATCTCCAGGAGGATGAGGGTGAGAACCAAAGCATGAAGCATGAGTGTCACTTCCATGATCATTCTAGGGGAGTCCCACATCATTGGGACGAGAAAATCAAACAAGTACAAAATCAACTGGGTGATGTCTTCAACGCCATGAAGGCACAGGGACCTGAGACAGTGGACTACCTGGTAAGGCGTACAGACACGCCTTTCAAACCTAATGTGGCAAACTACCCCCTCCCTCAGAAGTTTAAAATGCCATTTGTGGAGACCTTTGACGGAATAAAAAATCCGCTAGACCACCTCAACACCTATAAGACTCTGATGCAGCCACACAACGTCCCAGATGAAATCATGTGCAGGGCCTTCCCAACCACATTGAAAGGATTTGCACGACAATGGTTTGCTAAGCTCCCCCTAGCCTCCATCGCCTCCTTTACAGAGATGAGCAAGTCATTCGTGTCACATTTCATTGGGGGGTGTTGCCACCAGAAGCCTGTCACTCATCTGCTTAGCATAAAGCAGGACAGGGATGAGAGCCTAAGGAGTTACCTCACTCGTTTTAACGAGGAGGTACTCCAAGTTGATGAGCTTGACGATAAAGTGACGATGACTACCTTCTTGGGAGGCCTCCGCTCGTCAAGCTTCCTTTTCTCAGTGATGAAACGCCCACCAAAGAGCATGTCAGAACTGTTAGCTAAGGCCCTGAAATACATGAATACTGAGGACATCACAAGGACCAGGCGAGGTGAGTCCTCTAGAGCAGTAGGGGAAACGAGGAAGGAAAGGGAGAGAGAAGACAAGAAGGAGACTAGTAACAAGTGTGGTAGAACGGAGAAAGTTCCTGTCAAAGACCGACTAGGTCCTACTCCTCAGAAGAACCGACAAGCCTTCACTCCCCTCAACATCGCTGTCGGGCACATCCTATTCCAGATCCAGGATAACCCCACTGTAAAGTGGCCAGGGAAGATGAAGTCTCCTCCAAATCACAGAAATCCTAACAAGTACTGTCATTTCCACCGCGACCATAGGCATGACACCGACGATTGCTATGACCTCAAAAGACAAATTGAGGAACTCATCTACCGTGGCCACCTACGCCAGTATGTTGCTGGCAGAGAACGAGAACCACCACCTCACAATCACGAAGACCAACAGCCCTTAGAGGAGATCCACACCATCTCGAGAGGACTAGTAAGAGGTGGAGAATCACTCTCTGCAATGAAGGCCCACGCCAGAAAGGCAAGGCACCTCGACGAGATCTGCCCATCTAAATTGCCAAAGCAGGGTGGTAGCGAAGTCATATCTTTCTTAAATAAGGACCTAGAGGGAATCTAGCACCCCCCATGATGACCCTCTGGTGCTCACCATGATAGTGGCCAATTTTCAGGTGCACAGGATCCTGGTGGATAGTGGCAGCTCTACAGATATCCTATTCGCAGATGTATATGACAAGCTCAACTTGGGCAGAGAGAGACTGTAGCCTATCAGATCACCCCTCATTGGGTTCTCATGGGAAAAGGTATATCCCCTAGGGTCCATCACCCTACCTGTCACAGCCGGAGTATTGCCCCGGAGTTCCACAGTCATGGTCAATTTCTTGGTCATAGACTGCCCATCAGCCTACAACATCATATTGGGGTGACCTGCTCTTAACACACTAAGAGTTGTGTCCTCCACCAATCACCTCATCCTCCGCTTTCCAACTACGAATGGAGTCGGGGAGGTCAGAGGAGACTAGATTGCAGCGAGGGAGTGCTATGTATCCTCCAGGAAGCCACAGGAAGCATTGCAAGTTGAGGTCCTTAATCCGAGGGACGACGCCACCAAGAAAAGAGGAGAACCAGTCGAAGAGCTCACCCTTATGGCCCTGGATGAGGAGCACCCAGACAGAAGAGTATACATCAGCTCTTCCCTTCCTGAAGACCAGGTTGGCCCACTAATAAACTTTTTGAGACGTAACATGGACGTCTTTGCATAGTTATATGCAGACCTTGAGGGAATTGACCCAGAAGTGGCCACACACCGTCTCAATATAGACCCACGCCACAAGCCTGTTCTCCAAAAACTAAGGAGCGCCTCCACTGAAAGGGCCCAAGCTATGGACAAGGAGGTGGCAAAGCTAATAGATAACGGGGCCGTTAGAGAAGTAGTATATCTTGGGTGGCTCTCCAATGTAGTGATGGTCACCAAAACTAATAGAAAGTGGTGTCTCTACGTCAACTTCACAGAGCTTAACAAAGCATGCCCAAAAGACAGCTACCCACTGCCATGGATCGACCACCTCATCGATGCCACTGCTGGGCATAAGTTGCTCACCTTCCTGGATGCTTACTCTGGGTACAACCATATTAG